GCGATGCCCTTGTTCCTAGTAGCGTCCTGCTACTAGTAGTAGGAATTCTACTGGTAGTGGTGCCGTTGTTCCCAGTAGCGTCTTGCTACTAGTAGTAAGAATACTACTGGTAGCGGTGCCCTTGTTCCTAGTAGCGTCTTGCTGTTAGTAGTAGGAAAGCTATTGGTAGTAGCGTCTTGCTACTAGTAGTAGGAATGCTTCTGGTACCAATGCCCTTGTTCCTAGTAGCGTCTTGCTACTAGTAGTAGGAATGCTTATTACTGGTAGTGATGCCCTTGTTCCTAGTAACGTCTTGCTACTAGTAGTAGGAAAACTACTGGTAGTAGCGTCTTGCTACTAGTAGTAGGAATGCCCCTGGTACCAGTGCCCTTGTTCCTAGTAGCGTCTTGCCACTAGTAGTAGGATCTTGCTACTAATAGTAGGAATGCTACTGGTAGTGATGCCCTTGTTCTTGGTAGCGTCTTGCCACTAGTAGTAAGAATGCTACTGGTAGTGGTGCCCTTGTTCCTGGTAGCGTCTTGCTAGTAGTAAGAATGCTACTGCTGGTAATGCCCTTGTTCCTAGTAGCGTCTTGCTACTAGAAGTATGAATGCTACTGGTAGTGATGCCCTTGTTCCTAGTAGCATCTTCCTACTAGTGGTAGGAATGCTACTGGTAGTAGGGCCTTTGTTCGTAGTAGAGTTTTGCTACTAGTAGTAGGAATGCTCCTGCTGGAAATGCCCTTGTTCCTACGTAGCGTCTTGCTAGTAGTAAGAATGCTACTGGTAGAAATGCTCTTTGTTACTAGTAGCGGTGCCCTTGTTCCTAGTAGACCTTGTTCGTAATAGCTTACTGCTACTAGCAAAAGGAAAGCTACTAGTAGCAATGGCCTTTGTTACTCGTAGCGGTGCGTTGCTCCAAGTAGCTTCTTGTTACTGGCCACAGGAACGCTAGTAGTAGTAGTAGTAGTAGTAGTAGTAGTAGTAGTAGTAGTAGTCAAAGGAAGTTTAGTGTGCAAAACTTCCGTGTTACGGACATTCAACAGCTGTTCAACCACCACTCATCATACACCACTCATCAAACACCACTCATCATACACCACTCATCATACACCACTCATCATACACC